GCGCCGATGGCCTGGGAAACTTGCCCGGCGCCGGGCAACTTTGAGCAGGAAGGTGGGGGGAGGAAAAAGAAGAAGGGGGAACAAAAAAAAAAAAAAAGAAAAAAGAAAAAGAGGTTATTTCCTATAAGGTTAGAGCCGCTGGAAAAACACAGCCGAGTTCCTCTTAAAATGTAACTGCAGCATCACTCCTTTGGAGGAAGCGAGACCTGGACGGCAGGAAAAGCACTTAACGTCTGTTCCTTTTGTGTAATGCGAGGGTCGGCGAGGCTGCTCTGTGCCGGAGGACTCTCCATCGGGAGGGTTAATGCCTCTTAAAGTATTCGGAGGCTTTTCAGGAAGGTCTTAAGTGCAAATTGTGCCTGCTGTAAGGCTGTAATCCAGTCAATTGAAAACGAGCTTGAGTGTTTGGGGAGATGGCTTGCTGTTTTTTTTTTTTTTTTGTCCTTGTCTGTGGTAAATGCAAATGCAGCTGTGCCACTGCTGGACATGGTTTGTCTGGAATTTAGGTTTATTTGCTGTCTGGTGGCTCTGATACCTGTTTCTGAAACTTGTGTATGCTTTCTTCCATTTTGGCTGTGGCTAACGTTGTTTCGTTGAATCTTATTAATCGTGTTCCCCAATCTTGTATTTTATCTGCTACTGCTTTAGAAATACTTAATGTAATTAGGGCTTTGTATGGCTATCTTATTTCCTGTTTGGTTCCCCTCATAGAAATCATTATAAAACCAAGAGAGAACTGAGATTAATTTTTTTGTCTTCTTCCAATTCCACAGATGCAGTTTATGTTGCTTTTTAGTCGTCAGGGGAAACTGAGACTTCAGAAGTGGTATGTCCCATTATCTGACAAAGAAAAGAAGAAAATCACAAGGGAACTTGTTCAAACAGTATTAGCCCGCAAACCGAAAATGTGCAGCTTCCTGGAATGGAGAGACCTGAAGATTGTCTACAAAAGGTTGTTCTGTCTCACTAACCTCATAATTGCCATACATGACAAACAATGTAATAAGTAGCAGGAAAATAGTGAAGGTTCATTTCACCTCCTTCCTTGCTCTTCCAGCCCATTGGTTATGGAGAAGTGTGGGTTTTGAGGGTTTTCCTTGAATCTAATTTGATAACCAAGTAGGAATCATTCATGTGTTGAAAATCACTCATGCATTTAGCAATGTGTTGAAGAAAAGGAATGAGGTTTCCTTCTCCTTTAATAGGAAGTGGTTCTTACAAGTTCCCTGTTTAGATGCCCAGAGTAAGTAAGTGCATACAAATATGAAGCATGCATGTATGACCTAACAGCTAATAAAGAAAAACTAAATTTTATAAACGTTTACCTAGGGCGATTACTTTATAAATCAGCTACAAATGCAGCTTGCTTTAAAGGCTTATAGAAACAAGAATATTACTTTGTTATTTCAGAGAATGCAAAGAGAAGTAGCTCCTAATTTTAGAAATCATCCCTAACTTTCTTTTGGTGGAATTACTGTATAATGTTCTTTGGTAATAGTTTAATTTCTCACTTGTTTGCTAACTTTTCTAAGGCTGGTTTGTGACCTTTAGAAAGTAAAGTGTGAAAATACTTTTCTGCATAAATAACTGTAATTCTGGTCCTGATTTGCTAGGTTGCATCTCTTCCATCTTAAGCTGATAGGCAACTTTGAGTTAATCCCTTTCCCTAGTTACGTATAAAACTTAAAAGATTTGTGCGTTCTTATTTCTGTGTGACATGGTAAATGACTCCTGTGCTGTACAATATTGCTGCCTTCTCTCTGAAGGGAAGAGGAATTGGATTTTAAGAGTTAGTAACCTGTTTTCAAGGATTCAACCTTTAGATCCTGATCTGATATATACAACACTGCGTGTAATGTCGTGTGAATAAATGTTGCCTGTATATCTGGGAGTAGTTCTCCTACTCTTGCAAAGATAATGATGTCTCCATAGGGAAGGAGGAGGAACAATGTATAAGGTCATGCTTAAACAGAACATACAAAGTTTTATTCTTCTGCATGTTGATTTCCTCACAAAAACACTTATGTGCATACACTTAGACAAGCCTGCTTAAATGTTTTATGTGTCCCTCATGTAGTGATGTACACAAGTGCTCTTGCAGCTGGACTTTTATGGGGTCAGATGAGGAGAAAATAGGCATGGGTAGGCCAGTGTGTTTCCCTCTTGCCCAGCACTGCAGAGCAGTAGCTGCTGTGGGGGGAGGTGGGTCCACAGAGTTGTCCTCTCTCCTTCTCTGTTCACTACTGTTACCTATTTGTGGCTATGCCCTTTTTATGCCCAGCAAACTGGTGGGGGTTGAAGTATGGGTATTCAAGATGCTCAAAGCTGTGGTGTCTGTGTCCATGGCGCACGCTGTGGGGCCTCTCGTCAAGGAATAGCAAAGCTTTGTGTAGACCATTTGGGGCTGGATGTAGACTACAGTGCATCTGTTGGAGTACTGATGCGCACAGCTTGCTGCAGTAGCGTATTCTGCTGTTTAAGAACCGGTCTGGCACAGCTAGCCTGTAAAACCATTGCTTACGATAAGATTGTATCAAAGTTGCTCTGTTTAGCTTTTGTAGGCAAGTTTCATTAAGCTAAAACTTCACCAGAGGGATTGAGTGTAGGAGTTGATAGTAAACTGAAAATCCTGTGATCTGAAAGAATAGCTTCTTGCTGCTTTACAGGAAAGATTTTTCTAGTCATTTTGCTTGGTGTTTGCATTTCCTTAAATTAAAGTTGATGAATAACAACTAGCATAATCCCTTTTAAAAGGGTGATTCATAAGCTAGAGAAGATAACCTCAAAATGACCATCTTAATGATCAGAGTACAGTAGCTTTTACTGTTTTGGTTTATTTTTCTGATTTTTTTAAAATTATCCACAAAAATATGTGCATATTGCTTAAATTGCTGAAATTGATGTGCAGTATTGTTTTAGAATGTCTTAACCGTCAAAAGTTTCAGGTACTAGAGAGGATTGTCCAACTCAAACTGTTCGGCCATATTAAAGGTATGCTAGACTCTTTTTCTTTCCTTTTTTTTTTTTCTCCAGCAAAACAAACTGAAATGCAAAATTGATAAGCCAGTAGCTTCATCTGCCTTTCTTTTTGAGTACTTTCTCTTTAATTTCTTGTTTCGTATATGCAACACTTAGACAATTGCAATTATGGCTGCAGAGTTGGATTAATCATAGAATTATGACTATGCTTAAGGTTGGAAGGGACCTCTAGAGATCATCTAGTCCAACCCCCCTGCATACACAGGGTCACCTAGAGCGCGTGGCACAGGACTGTGTCCAAGTGGGTTTTGAAGATCTCCAGAGAAGGAGACTCCACAACCTCTCTGGGCAGCCTGTTCCAGGGCTCTGTCACCCTCACTGTTAAGAATTTTTTCCCTAAGTTCCTATGGAACTTTTGCCCTCAGCCTCTCCTCATAGGGCAGATGTTCCAGGCCCCTGATCATCCTTGTAGCCCTGCGCTGGACTCTCTCCAGCAGCTCCACATCCCTCTTGTTCTGTGGAGCCCAAAACTGGACACAATACTCCAGCTGCGGTCTCACCAGGGCTGAGTAGAGGGGCAGGATCCCCTCACTCGACCTGCTGGAGACACTCTTCTTAATGCACCCCAGGATCCCATTGGCCTTCTTGGCCATGAGGGCACACTGCTGCCTCATGGTCAACTTGTCATCCACCATGATGCCCAGGTCCCTCTCTGCAGAGCTGCTCTCCAGAAAGTCGGTCCCCACTCTGTACTGGTGTCTGGTTATTCCTCCCCAAGTGCAGGACCTGGCACTTGTCTTCATTGAATTTCATAAGATTTTTCACTGCCCAGTTATCCAGTCTGTCCAGGTCCCTTGTCATAGTCATTGTTGGTCCTAGTCATTGTTGTCTTTGTAGTTATTTCTTTACAGCTACAAAAAAAATGGTGAAAAGGCAGCCCTGCATTTGACATGGATCATAACTTAGGATGGAGGTTTGGAAGAGAGTTGTTCAGGCTAGTCAACACCTGAAGATTGAAAAAGGGTTGTGAACTCGTTACTTCAGGAGACAAGTAAATCTTTGAAGTGACTTGCTGAAAAAACAATCAAATTTGTCAAGCCAGCAACTATTGCACTTTATTACAATAAAAAGGACGTCATCTGCTAATGGTGGACTGGAAGCTGAACAAGTGCAAGCACGTTCACATACTCCTACCTTCTAGTAATACTGGGAATATTGGATCATACAAGGTCAACGTTGCTGCAGCTTTCCTCTTGTGCTGGAAGAATTTGTCTTTAAATGTAAAAATTTCCAATATTTTAATGAAGAGTAAGATAGGAAGCATGGCAGTCTGAAAGGCTGGGGGCAGTGGAAGGAGAGAAACAAGAATATGACTTTTTTAAAAAGAAATAATAGGTGCTCTCAGCTATTCATTGCTTTAGCTTCTGCTCATGTTAGTTATTTTCATTATGTGATCTATTGCAGTCAAAATTAGAAATTACAGAATAACTGCTTTTTATCGAAGCATACTTTGTTAGCATTTGTTAAACTTTATTAAACGTGGGACTTAGTTGTTGACTGGTAACTTAAAGGAGGAGGATTATTTTTATACTGTAATACATAACTGCATATGTAGTATTTTAAATTTGTCACAACTTGTGCTGCTCTTAGTGATGTAGCAATTCTCAGTTAATTTGAAGTAACCTTAATTGTAGGCTCCTTTAAAAACTTGAAGTGAAGTTTTAAAACAATATTTTCTACCATACCTCTATGACTCTACTTCCATCTCCCAAAAATAAACGTCCTTTCTGCAAATAGTGCATGTCCTTAGCTGACAGTGTTTTGATTCCATGACACACTAATGTTATCTATTTAATGAAATGTGTCCAGCAATTGGCATGATCAGTGTCTGTCCTTATGTATGCCTTAACTGCCAGCTGCATCTAATGAAAATGATATAACATGGAAGAAACTCTAAAGCTAGCTGCATGCTATGATTATACTAAACTAGGTGCTTAGATACGGTTATTTTAACTTTATGCTAAGTATATCTTTGTAGAATATTCTAGGCTCTTGTGTGACTCGGACAAAGAAAGAAGCTTCCTCTTACAGAAGGAATTACACAGCTTCTGTTAATTTCTAAAACTAGCAGTTTCCCTTTTTAGGTTTGCAGTCGGATATGGTGAAAGAAATGCCCATGTTGGGTGTAATTATTATTGTTGATGATGTCTGTATCCTTAAATGAAGCCTAACTCATCTGCCTGTCCTGGAGTCTCAAAACTTTGTGCTTTAGCAGAGAAACATAGTTAAGTTCTCTGAAAGAGGAGGGGAAAAAAAAAAAGTCTTGCCAAGCACAGCTCCATGGCTATAGCTGTCACAGGGTAATTGTTGGCAAATTATCACCAAACTCCAGATTCCTGCGCTCTTTAAAATACCTGCCTGCCTCTTAAAGGCAGCATTGTTGTCATTTTCAGTGCAGCCAAACACTGTAGGCTTGAAATTTCTGCAATTGGAATTTGTGTGGAAAGCTACTAAGATGCTGGCAGCCAGATGGCTTGCAGCTTCACTTGGTGTTGCTTCCAGGTGTGTCCTATCCTGGTAGGAGAATACTACTGGATCAGTGGGACTTGACACCCACAGTGTTCTGCCCACAAGTGACCTGCTCCGTGTGTTTCCCCTATAGTAGAATGACTCAATCTGGTTCTGAGCTGAGTAACAGGAGTGTTTTGGTGGTAAAAACATTGCCTGCCAAATGCCCACTATTGAATAAGTGTGCGGTTGTAGGAAGGCTTGTGTGTTTGTTTCCTTCTAACATGAGAACTCTAAAATGGGCTACCAAAGGTAGGAATTTGTGTAAGTCTGTCCTGTGCTACTTTTCAGTTTTTCTACTTGAGAACTTGAAAAATGCTTTCTGTATATAATAATAGATACCCAGGCCTTCCTTCTGCGTTAAGATACCCACCAAGTAGCTTTGTTTCTTCGTAGTCTTTTCTCTGAAGCTGCAGCTGGCAGAGCTTGAAAGTGTGCTTTACTCAATAGCTGCTAAATAAAGTATTTCAAAAAGTATGTTATGCTTTATTTTAAATGAGGACACTGAGAGCAGACTAGTTTTCTGCAAAATGTTCAAGGTTGAATAATGTTTCTCTCCTTTTTTCTTTTTTCTTACTTAAAAAGTTTCGTGTGTCAGTTAAACTTTTAAAGTAAGAGGGGAACACAAAAGGACTATCCTGTGTGGAAAAATATTAAACATGAGTCAGTTCTGGTTTGGTGAGGTCTACGCTATGAGATTCAATTTGTGTCTAAGTACTAAAAGGAGACAGTATGACTGTACTTGGTTGTAATCAGTGCTGCTCATCAGAATATGGTAAAAGTTTTGTTCAAACGGATTTAGTCTGAGTTAAGCATTAAATAATATATTAAAACTAACATGAGGTTTTCTCATTAGATTTGAAAGCCTGATTTTTCTGTAGAGTATCACTTCCCAGTCTTTAAAAAAAAAAAAAAAACCTCTTCGTCTAAGAAAGCACTGTACAAAATGCATCTCGCAAGTTACTACAATGATAGTAAATATACTTGAAATATTAAAATTGGGGACAAATCAACAGTGTAAACTCAACCTGGGCTCACATGGGACTTCCAAAGTAATAACATTTAAATCGCCTTGTTCTTTTATTTCTTCATCATTGTGATATGTTAAGAGCTTCTCTGGAGAGAGATGTCTCACTGACCATCTTAAGTCAGGTTTTGTGGCAGAATGGAAATAAATTGTAGATAGTCACTTTTTTGTAATAGTTTAAACTTTTGGATAAAAGTGGTTCTGATCATTTGTAATGATGAAGCCCTATCAATTTGATGCAACTAGAGCAGAGTGAAAATGGCACTTGCAGATCGTAAATGGCAGTTTAGGAAGAGGGAGACCAATTTTAACAGAAACCGGATAGATACATATCATACATAGGAGCAATAGTCCAATTATATTCTTGGGCTGAAGAGCTTGGGTAAATTTGGTTGGAAATTGGCAGAGTAGATATTGTTAACTGAAGGAATAAATTGTTTTTTGTTTGTTTGTTTAAAGTAGCCCTGAGATAGTTAGCTGACGATGTCTTTGGTCATGCTGATGCTAGGGAGATAAGATGTTTTTAATAGGAAATAAAACAAGACAGCAAGGTAGTGTTTTCTTCTCCCCCCTTCTCCCCCCCGCCCCCCAACCCCAAGAGCTATCACAAAAATATTTAGCATGTGCTCTTTAGGGAAAAATTAGTTTAAAGAAGAAGTTTAATTTGAGGTGATGCTACTAACCTCTTGGAGTAAGCAGGGGAACTCGAACAAATTCTGAAGAGGGTGAAAATGGCATGAAAGGAAGTTCTATGTCCATGTGAGGAAGAACTTCTTTCCTGTGAGGGTGACAGAGCACTGGAACAGGCTGCCCAGAGAGGTTGTGGAGTCTCCTTCTCTGGAGATCTTCCAAACCCGCCTGGATACCACCCTGTGCCACGTGCTCTGGGTGTCCCTGCTGGAGCAGGGGGGTTGGACTAGGTGATCTCTAGAGGTCCCTTCCAACCTTAACCATTATATGATTTAATTGGCCAAAATCTTACCCTTATTAAAATGTTTACTTATAGTAAGAAACGTATGTGTAGGTCATATATATGGTAGTATTGATACTTCTATAATTTCATATTTTTCTGTTTTACAAAATAAAATTGTCTTGCATGTCTTCTTCCAGCCAGAATGCTCTGAGAACAACTTTTGGTACTTAATATGTTTTGGCTGATAAAATTCCTTTGTTACACTAGAGTTGATGCAGGGATCTTTTTTGTTAAAAGTGGAGTTCAAAATCATATCTGAAGTAAAGAATTCATTGCATTCAGGGTGGAAGTGGATTGCTCTAGGTTGAATAAGGTTTCTCGCTCCTTTTTTTCTTACTTAAAATGGATGGCCATTTTCAGTCTCTGTTAATGTGTATGTAGTTTGTGTTTGTTACAAATTTAAGGATGTGATCTGTTTATTAGGAGACCAGTGCCTGTTTTTTTAGAGATAATAGAAATGATATCTTGCTTCAAAAATTCAGATGAAAAATACATTTCCTTTTCCAACCACATCTGAGGCTAGTTTAATCCCTCATTTAAAGAATGGTAAAGACTGAAATCTTGATTGAATCAAGGAAGCACGTTGCTTTCTGTGTACATGTATGTCTGCCGGTATCTTAGCCTGTTCTCCTTGTAGTACTTGAAAGGCTCCTTGTAAAGGATAACAGTATGGTCGTAGACTCCAGCGTGAAGGACTGCTGAAAACTGAACTTTGCTCAAATACGTTCACTTTGCCAATGTTCTTATGCTAATGTAAAGATTATTTTGTTGTTACAGATATGCAAGCCTTTATTTCTGCTGTGCTATTGAAGACCAGGACAATGAGCTAATAACTCTGGAAATAATTCATCGCTACGTAGAACTTCTTGACAAGTATTTTGGCAGTGTGAGTTAATGCTTCTGTTTTGGTTATTTTTTTTTCAGATGCATAGTGTGTGCTATACTATAAAGTGCTGTGGAATAAAACAACAATCAACTAGCTTTTGAAAGCATGTATCTAGCAAACTTCATGTCGTTTGGTCAAACTAAATTATAGTTAACTATGTAACTGTTAGAAAAGGAATTGATGAGTTTGTGAGAGGATGACTGTTAATGTGCTGGTAATTGCCTTTACTCACTTCATCTCTTAGTTCACACTGGCCTTACTTGCTTTTGGATAAAATCTTAGGATTTCCTGAGTTTTCTGTCCAGTCTCACAGCTTTCCCTCTCTTTGGCACTGCTCATTTGTGTATATACTCCCGTGCCCTCCCAGCACTACTTATATCTGCTTCTAAATTGGACAGTTGCTTGTGAGCTAATACCAGGGATATGCTAAGAGAAGACAGACATCTGCTTTCCTAGATACCATCTTCAAATGGAATCGTAGTAGTATTAGCACTTTTAGGGGGATTCCTGGCTCATCCTTTTGCAACCTTTGACTAGGACATGCACAGAATGAATAAAACATCAAGCATATGATACTGTGAATTGCTTTAAGATTGTAGGGAGTTAGATAAAATCATTTTAGATAAAGAAGGCAGAAGAGAACCTTTACAAGGATGTTCTCATGCTATATAAACAGCCACCTAAGACTGAAAGCTATGAATTAAACTTTTTTTTAAGCTATGAAAACACTTTTCAAAGAAAGAGGCTGCTATAGTTGTGTTTAACTGGAGCAAAAATACACTTTTCATTTAGTTTGGCCTCAAGTGAATGATTTGCGGTGCCTCACCATCTCAAAAAGATAGAGCCCAAGGCTGACATCTTGGTTTGGTGAAGCTGAGGACGAGTTAAGTTTTGTAAGAGGACAAGTCAGTAGGTGGTATCGCCCTGCTTGCAGTAACATTCAGTGCTCTTTTCAGGTATGTGAACTTGATATCATCTTCAATTTTGAAAAAGCCTATTTCATTCTGGATGAATTCCTTTTGGGAGGGGAAGTTCAGGAGACTTCCAAGAAAAATGTTCTCAAAGCCATTGAGCAGGCAGATCTTTTACAGGAGGTAAGCAAATTGTACTTCTCTGGTCAATGCACCAGCATGCTATAGTGTGAATAGAGAGAGCCCCTGCTTCTCTAAGTTGTAGAAAGTCATTTTTAGCATGTGCAGCATGTAGTCTCTGGTTAATTCTAATTGTGCAGTACTGTTACATTCTTTGGTCTTCTCGTCTTGTGTGTTGTGCGTATGTGAACTACCGTGGTCTCTGTTTTGCTAGAAGTGCAAATGGCTGTTTAATGCTTTATCCGTAGGTAGTTATAATTCATTCTGCTTTAAATCAATTTTGCTCATATCTGCTTTCTGTTTCTTTTTATTTACTTAATCACCATTAGTTTTTTCTCATACCTGATGCATGTTCACTTCTTTACTGTTTCATTGCTGAAATCCAGAAGCTAGGCTCTCTTCTTTGAGACTCATTCAGGTATAGTTCTTATTCTGTCCTTCTGCTATAGGTAGCTTATTTGACTACATTTCTGTCTTTAAGCTGACAAGCAATAATAATGAAGTATAAAATCATTCAGTCTTTGAATGCTTTTGTTGTTCATTACTAGCTTTGGGGGAATAATATAGATTGTATCTTTTTCTCTTCCTCCTCTTCCCGCCTCCCCCGTTTTTAAAATGCTTGCTGAGGAGGGGTTCAATGTTACAAGAAAAAAAGAAAATTTAATAATATTTCCATTTCGTTCCTGCATCCTCATAGTGTTTTTGTTTTTATATGCCCTTACTGTCTGTAATCATCAAGTTAATAAGAAGTCTTCTGAAAGAGTAAATGAAGGTCACAAAATTCTAGTATAACATAAAAGTGGGAAATAAGAGGGAATAATCAGTTCTGCATGCAAAACTGAAACATAAAGTTTAACAGGAATGTTGAACCTTAATAGTTTTAAAATGCGACAAGGTTCACTGACAGGTTTCTATATGAATAAACTATTGATTTTTTCCCCTCCTGAACCTTCAGTTTGCTTTATCCTGTGAAATAATTGCTTATGTGTGTTCTGTGTTCCAGCTGGTATTACTTTCTGCTGAATGTGGTGGTATTTTAGGGTGGGGAAATGCCTAATGTTTTTTTACTCTTCAGGGTGTATTTTGTAATCCCTTTGGTTTTCCAGAAACAGGAAAATCTATAAAATGTTCTTTTTTGTCAACAGCTAGCTAGGTCCATAAAAAGGGTCAGCCATTACACATAGATTTGATATCCTGTTCCAGGAAGCAGATGCACACCCTTACTTACTGCTTCTGTTTCGAAGCAAGTTTTCTCACTCCCTTCTTTACTCTTAGAAAAGATTAGCTTAACTGCAAGTCTTTTTACATTTCCAAACTAACAAAAAAAGTTATTGCTCTTAATCTTTTGCTGTTCTTTTTGTGAAAACGGCTACCATAAATTGGCTGCCTGTACTGATCTTTCCTGCAAATGCACATATATGTGTATGTGTGTAAATATTTATGTACATATATCTATATGTGTGTATATATATACCTATACATCTATACAAATAGAATTACAGTATTTTGTCTTATTCTTGAATTTTACTTTGACCATTTTCTTTGGGCTCTTCTAAAGAAAAATTAACTGTATGGCTAGGAAGTAATACTCATATTTCATCCCAAATCATCATTCTCTATTTACTGTTATTTATATTTTGAAGATAAAAATGTGTGTACAAAAGGAAGTTTCTGTCTTTCAATTGCAGACTTTTCCCATGGCCCTGGTAGCTTTACTCTGATGTATTTGACTTCTGAGATGATAGAGCCTTGCTTTTCTCATCCTAATGAGATTTTATGTATGTTTTATCAGGGTTTATTAATTTTTTTTTTCTGATTAAACTTTTGTATGACACTGTCATTACTCCACTGTAGTCTTAAGTTTGTTTTCTAATAAGCTAGTTGATTTTTTAAAATTCTTAATAGAGGGATATTGACTGACAGTCAAATATAAAACTACTCCATACATTTGCTTATTTGTTTATTTAGAAGCTTAATTTGAATATAAACTGAGTGTGGTTTAAACCGAGTGTGTGGTTTTTTTGTTGTTGTTTTGTTTTTTAAATAATAATAATAACTGTTGCTATGTGCATACTGAGTGTCTGGTGAAGAGGATTGTTAAAATAGGTTTGTCATGACCAGGAACCTTTTTTTATGCTTTTGGTTAATTTCTGCTTCCCAGAATGCATTGAAGAAGCCTGCTGGAACAAAATGTGTTTTGTTTGGAGGGAAAAAAAATGCTGGTGTGTTTGCTTTTGACTATGTTTGACTGTGTCATGTTCTAATTATCTTCAAGGAGAGGTCTTTTTGACCTTCACCTTGCCTCATTTCAAAATTGCTAGTCAGTCTTGAATATACTACCTTACTACTAACTAGCTAGTGATAGATACATTAATGTACAAAGCCACTTTAAAGATGAAAAGCTGTACAGACTATTTACACAAAAAAAATCAATAGAAATACATTAATTTGCTATCTGGGTAGATTTTAAAAGAAAATAATGCAGATCCAGTGAACTGGTTCTAAATAGTCTTGCCCACTTGTGGCAGTGTTCCAGGACGTGCTTCTGTTTCTGAGCTCTGCTTCAGTGTGTCATTAAGCTCCTGGTGCTGTGTAGTCCACTCATTAATACTAACTGGTAGGGTCTGTGTGACTGAAATATAGTGGTATTCTGCACCTTTTTTCACTCTTTTGCTTTCTACCAGCTCTTCAGTAGCTCAGTTCACTTGTTCACTCCTTTTTTCCTTATTTAATACCTTTTGATAACTTATTGAGTAACCAGTACTCAATACTGACAGTATTATATGAATGGTAGTAAAACTAGTTATTCCAATGCTGCTTCCATGATTCATTGTAAATTTATTGCTGGAAATCTCAAGTGTGCTGTGCAGTGTCTTGCTTTATAATTTTATACCCATTATACCGTGGAAATTTTAAATACTAGTAATTGCAAAGACATGCATTTCTGAGAAGGTGACACATACATTGGTTGTGAGAACACCTTGGTTTTTACACTGAGAGAAGAATGTAAGTTGGCTGATGCAGCATGTCATTGTAAAACATACACACGTGCAGTTGCTGAAACATAATTATGTGCCAAACTGCGTGATGTTTTCTTAATGCTCGAAACTGTAGCAAAGCAGTATGTTTCATGGAAAAGAGTGGTTGTTTGTTTTTCCCACTTAAATAAAGGTTTAATTTTCTGTTGTTGTTCGATGGTTCAAGAGTGGCTATACGTAATTTAGTATGCTCTTCATGGTCATTCTCTGTGCTAAAATAGTAAAATTAAATATAGATATTAAGAATTCTCATTAGTATAATTGGCAGTTATGTGCAATTTCTGAAAAGCCAAGCTAAGCAGAATTGCAGTTCCTTGATCTTGATTTGAAATAGGAGCAAGTTCCTAAACACTGGCTCTTCTAGTGAAAGCTGGTTGCTTATGTTCTAGGTAATTTTTGTAAAAGGATTTCATAAATGACACCTGTTTTGTCCACCATTATTCTTCTGCACAGTATGTATGTATTCTTTTAATAGTGAATTGCAGAACATCTAAAGTCCTGTTTTTTCTAAGATAAATCCCAATAATGAGGCTGGTGGACCTATCACTTTTGCTTATTTGCATCAATATTTTAGTAGTGATCAAAATGAGCAAGCGGTATGAATGTGTTTTCTTATGATCTTGCAGTTTAGCTTCAATTGGTACCTACTCATCCTTCTGTATGAAGGATAGTAGATAGGCCATCCATCAATCTTATTTTCTTAGCTATTTCCGGCCCCCAAAGCCTCCACCACATCTTATATCCAGAAAGGTGCTTAAATCCTTAATGCCAGCTGACGTGGGTTAATTGCCTACGGATGCCATGTAGATTTAAGTTAGAACAAGTGGACAAGAAATGAAGAGTCAGTGAATTGCCCTGGAAAATTTACTTTTGGAGATGCAATGTACTAATTAAAAAGTGTAAATACTCGTAATAGTAAAATGGCATTATATTGTCATTGGGGTATGAGGAAATAAATAAATTTTAGCATTGGCATTTATGAAAAAAAAATCTGATATTTAAACCTACAGTGGGTTGGAGCATATAATGGTTTTTTGGTCATACTTAATGTAATTAATTCAATGTTTTGCTTAATGTTAACTCTTAAATACAGACTTCTGAAATGGACTGCCTTCCTAAAATGTCGCTGCCAGCTTGTTTCATGGCTACACTGGTATTTCTTTCGATGCAAAAGAAAAACAGAGTAATGCAGTCTTTACCAAGTGAACTTCTGAGTGTCCTGATACAACTTCTAATTCAGTCACTGTTTCAAGTACTAGCCTTGAAACTTCAGGTCTTAAGGCATGTATGTTCTTGATTTTATGGGCAGATAATGGCCCTTTTGTTTTAGGATGTTGTGTGGAGTGTGCAATTAGTTAATTATTTAAGCATTAGGAAATACTTGAGATCTATGATGTTTAGGAAATGCAGTGAGTTGTGATAGTATTTTGCTAGCCGGCATCCTTTGTAAAAGCAATTCAGATTTCATTCCCAGAAAAAAGTGTTGGCTGTGTGGCAGGGAAGAGATAGTAATGCAGTTAAATTGCCATTTTTTTCATTTAAATATAAAAGAGGATATCTTGCCCAGATACTACATTAAGCTTTTTGACTTTGATCACAAAAGAGAAAGTGGGTTTATCTTTGGTGTTCATTTGAGACATTAAGAACCTATCACCTACAGTAAGACTGTTCTTGGTTGTCTGAGATAACATGTCTCATGATTAAGTACACTTTGTAGCAGCTAATATTGTGACAAATACCATAGACAAGCCTATAAATAGACAGAATTAAGTCCAATTTGGTGTGAGCATTCAACAGATTTGCTTTTGCTTTATAGTATTGTATATTCTTTTGCTTGTGCTGTTTATTTTATTTTTTATTTTTAAGTAGTAGATGTGCAAATGGATCTGTATGTGAGAGGAGGTAGGTTTGCTTTCTAATCTGTGGAGTAATATGTTGCATTGATTGTTCTTAAAGACTAGCATAGTTTGTCACAAGATGTAATGTCCAAGATGAAGTATTTTGGGGCTAAGCAAACAGGTCAGTTGCTTGTGTGTTCATATTCATGCATCAGTTCAGCAAGTAGGTTTTTTTTTTTTTAATGAAGAAACAATGTATGCCTAATGATAGGAAAAATTCATGCCCTGCCATGCTCCACTACAGTGGTGCTATATGAGATTGCACATATAATAGGTTTTACTTTGAGAGAATTCATTTGCACTTTGTCTTAGGAAAATTCCATTAAATCATTTGTTAATATACTATGGATTATTTTTGTCCTGATAACTATTTGTCCTGTTTTTTAAAGGAGGTGTTCACAACATACAAAGCAAGGAGGTACTAAAACTATTGTTTGGTTCTGCGGAACTGCATAAATGTGGTATTTTCTAACACTTAGGAGTTTGAAACCTTGACACACAATAATCTATTCTTCATGTATGATTCATGTTAATTATTTCCATCTGTAGTCTTCTATTCAAGAAAAGGGTGATTTAAAATCCTTATAGAAATGTTTCTAATTTCAAATATAGATTTAATGTTAATTGCAGTCTTGCTTGTCTAAAACCTTAGTCCTGAAACCTTGAGTTTATAAATGCAGTGATAAAACCTGTCCATGTGTTCTTGAAGGTGTCACCATAGTTCCCTAATACCTAATAAAGATTCAACTGGACTTTAGAAAGAATGAGAAATAAAAATGTGTCTCTTGAGGAATACTTTAGGAATATCACTTCTCTTGGGAAAAAGCCTCTGAAGACAACTGATTGTCATTTTAATAGTGGTGGATCTGCAACTGTAAATACCAAAGGCACCTTCATTTTGTTATAGATATTTTTCAGCAGTCCTCTTTGTACTGTGGAATAGGCTTTTCTGTAAGTACTTACCAAATCACACACTTACTTAGAAAAGCAAGAGTTAGGCTAGAGAATGAGTAGCTTGAGTCTCTGCTTTTTTTTTCTAAAAAGAAAAGAGAGGGAGAAAGTTTAACTTATTTTAGTTTTAAATATTGTCTTCAGAGAGTGGTGTTGAGTGTCCATAAAGTCATCATGAAATACTCCATCTCTCCCATTCTCAAACTACTTTGTTTCTGATCACTGAAGTATTTAGAGGTTTTTATTTGGAGTTGCTGACTCTCTTTCTTCGAGTGCACTTCAGTGTCTTAATATTCTTTGTGAAGTTCATTGCTTTTCTGGACGTGTCATGACACGTAAGACTTGTGTGTCGTAGCTTTGCAGTGTGTGATTTTTAAATGCTTTAGAAATCCAGCTGTCTTTCCAGAAATACATTGTCAGATCTTAATCCATTCTTCACTTTAGGGACTGAAAATAGAGTGCTGTCTGCTTTTCACCTGAGCCACTTTTGTGCAGACCTTAAATTTCATTTTAGTAAATCTGTCTTTATAATATTTGCTTCTTTCTTGACTGTTTTGTTTAATTAAAATGTGTGCATGTAGGACGCAGGTTAACTTATTCCACTAAGAAAATGAGCACCTGATTAGGTTTTCATAAGGGTCAAAAGATGTGAGGAAGGAATCCTTCTTGCAAGTTGTAAACATGCATTCAGCAAGTTTCAGTTATGAGAAAGACAGAATAATACAAGCTAGCTATCCTGTGCACCCTCTGATGTGAATTCAAATACTGATGAGCAGTATGCACTTGCCTTGTGCATCTGCTAAGGATCTGTGAAGTCCCCCGGTTTTGGTGAGCAAACATGGCAAATTCATTGAACAATTAAAAATATATGTTACAGAATGAACAGAGTGAAGATACATCTTACCTTACGAATTAGGTGTTCTTTTTGAGCATACTAATCCACATCTTAATAAAATATATTCCTTGAAAATATTTAAAATATATTCCTAGAATTTGGCAGGATGTAGGAAAGAGCAGTGTTGTATGTTTGAACCCTGCGTTAGTGAGGAGAATCTTCTGTTTTGCTCAGTTATCCCTGAGAACGGTGTGAGATGATCTGTCATCTTGTGCTGCTGCTAACCTTTCTCAAAACTCAAATTACCTGCAAGGATAGTTTTGAAGCGCTGCAGAACAGTAGATGAAAAGAATATGAACGCCCCCAGGAGGCCTCCCATTGCGTTGTGCGCCGTTTTTAGGTTGTGATTTCTTTGTGGTCTTATCTGTGTGTTATACAAATGTCAGCACATTCCTGATGTGTGTTTGGGGGCTTTTGTTTTATTATTTTATTTCTTTTAAAGAGGCAGCTGTGGTTTTTGTTGCCAAGTGAGCCAGGAAAAATAATAGCTGTGGTGCTGGATATTGGAATAGATTAAAAGTGTATATATTTTAAGTTTTATTTATATTCTTATTAAATTTTCTTTTTTTAAAAAAGAATAAAAATGTGAAAAGGACTGTTGTGCAAAATTATTTTGAGAAATTTAAATACATTTCACTGAATTAAAGTGATTTTTTGGCATCAAGCATTAGTATTTGAATATAGCTCAGCAAGTAAATATGATAATTGTTAGACAAGTAGATATCATTACATAGCTCTTGATTTAAAATGTTTAAGCCTCGTCAGAGATGGTAGATAAATCAATTGAATGCAACTCTTTTTATTTTCCCTTAGAAAACAAATCTTACTCTATGTTAATAATACTGTGTGAAGCTTACTCACTGGATTAAATATATGTAAATTTTGTGCCATCCTATTCTGTTATGTTTTCAGTCTCTTGTGTGACAATAATGAACAACTGATCTTACATTCTAAAAAAAAAATCTTTGAATTAATCTCTCTTCAAGCACAGGTGAAGGGTTGTAAATAACTGATTTATGTTCTTATGAATTAATATGTTCTTATTAAAAAAAAACAGAAGTTGTTCTTTACTGTTGCATTTGTTTGCTTTCTTAAGAATGGATTTCTAGTATAAACGATAAAATTGTTTTAACTTAAGAGTAACAATAGTTGAAGTGCATTTGAGTAAAACTAACTTTACTTTTGTATGTAGTTTAGAATGTTTTTTAGCTTTTATTTTAATTGAAATAATTATATATTTTTAAATTAGTTGGTATTACATTTTCACTGCTGCTTGATTTTGTGTTTGTAGAGCCAGAATGAAGACTGGGGAGGTTTGTCTGAGGATATCTTATGATTAAGAGCAATATGGCATTAGCCCTTTTGACCCCCATCTAAATGATTGGTAACTACCAAGTTTACCATTTTGGTGGCATGGATTAAATGGGTGCTATGCAAAACCTGTTGCACGCATAATTAAGTCCTTGCAAGGGTAAACGACAACGGGTGATGGGCTTAACCTTCTGCAACACTTGCATGATGGTCTTTGAAGAGTGCTTGGAGTTTCCCTTTTATTTTTCCTTTCGTACTAACCGCATCAACCTGAAGTATGTGACTTCTACTAGCTTTCTTTTGGTGTTGATAATTAAGTGGGATAACGCAAGTTAGAGAAATGGATACCAAGACTAATTACTAAACAGATGTTTGGCTTTGTTGACTTACAATCAGACCATGTAAATATATATTTACTGGCAAATGAGCTGTAACATCTGCTGTGCAAAGCAGAGAGCCCTACAAAGAGTGGGTGCTGCTGAAATTGACTCCGTATCTGGTGCTGGATGCTGCATGACAGAACAAAGCTTACCTGCATATATAGTGCATTGCAACATATTTCTGTCCAGATCATAAGTGGATTACGTTGTGGCAGTCCTACTAAAGCAGGTAAGATTCCTTTAAAATAAGGCAAGCTTAGAATACATACAAATATGATTTGCTCAGAAAATAGAATTAGTACACTGCTTATTTGATAGTCAAGTCCAAGTAGTTCCCTAAAGCTGGCTTTTGTAATGTAGAACTGCAGTAGATGATCTAATTTCTTATGCATCTTCAACTTTATAAATATCAGGATTTAGTTCCCAGACCAAAGAATTCTTTTATAAGAAACAAATATATTTGTTAGATGTTCAAAATAAAATTCACTGTTCGCCCTCTTCTCCACCCCCCCCCGCCCTTCTCCCTCCCCGTTTAACCATTTAAGAGCTGTGTGTGTGATATGGGCACTGATTTGTTGGGAGTGAAGAACAGCTAGTACATTATGCTTATACATTAGAACTGTAGGTTTAGAACAGCTGAGAATTCATAATTTAAAACAATTTCTTACATGAATCTGGACATATTCTAAAGCAACTAAAAAAACTTTTTATTTCCATATTTTAAACACATTCTTTTTTTTTTTTTCCCTCTTCATGATAATAAGTTTATCTGTGAAGAATGTGATTCTTGTCATGCTAGTATTAATACTGTGACTGTGAAAGTTTGATGATGATGATTAAAACTTTAAGGGATTTATTGAGTGGGGCCTATGCTAAATACAGAGTATTTGCTCAGTTTGATTTTTTTTTTTTTTGTTAGACCAGTTGTGCAATATGCAAGCTTAAGCATAGGGAGGCATAGAGAATTTTGGGTGACTACAATTTGTTTGCTCTGTGTCCACAGTTAATTCTACGTATGGGCACAGTTGTAGCTGAGGTTATGTGCCTTGTGCCCATTACTTTACACCAGACTGGCATTATCAGATGGCACATGGGATGCTTCCTACTGTAATTTTCCCTGTAAAGAATGAAGGAGTAGTCACGATGTAGGGAGCTTAATTACTGCTTGTCGTGGTGCCACAGAATTTGGGAAAAATAGGAATGGCATCTGCTGGAGGGAGTGGAGAGGGGCAATTAGTTGCACAGAGAGAGCTGGCTAAAAGGAACTGCTGCTTGTGTGGAGGAATGGAGATGTGCCCTGAAGAAAGATCAGCTGAGGTGAAGAGAGCAAGTCTGTAGGCAAGGGGAGGGGTTGGACACAAAAAGCTTCTCTGCTTGGATTATCCTGATATTTAACCAATAGGCTATATACTGCTTCGTGTTACTTTAATCTCTCTTGCTCTGGCAAGTATAAACAAGCACTGGATGACTAGAACTTAGATTTTTTTTTGAGGGCTATTTCAGAGAGATTTACTTTAATGTAGACTTCCCCTCTTACCGCCTTATTTAGCTAGCTCTGTGGCAGCAAGGGTAATCAGGCACATATTCAGAAATAGTCTATTCCATAAAGAGTTTGATTAAATTTAAAGGGAAGCCTTATGTAATGTTGAAAAGTCTAGGCACAAAACTAGGCAGGGCGGAGTCTGTTTATTGTGCACCTGATTGCTACTTCTGCTTCCCTGGTGGAGTAGAATTAGTAAGTGTTAAAAGTCAGGGCTTTGAGTCAGGGGGCAGTTCCCTCAGCACCTACATCCGTGCTGAGTGTGACCCCCGTAAGGAGGCTAGTTCAGGGGGCTCCTCTTGCTCCATGTGCACTGGGGCCTAGTTCCTTGGCTGGAAACTAAGGACATGCAGGGGAGTGTGGGGAAGATGGTAAGGTAGTGGTGGTGATGGAAATTGAAAAGCAGAGTAAAAGACTGCTCATTTTTGCCCCTGTCAAAGTGCAAAGTAGCCTGCACTTTGTTTTGCTAAAGCTGGTAGTGTAACTTGAGTAGTTGCAGTTATTTTTAACCTTTGACAGTATATCTAAGGCTGTGGTGGGTTTCTTTGTTTGTTTGTTTCATCGCCTATTCCCCACAGTATCTTGTCTTCACTTGTATGTGCTGCTCATCCCCAAGCAAGTCACTCTGGGAAGTTCCTGCTTCGGTCCTGGCTGTGTGGTAGGGAGCCTCTGCAGCCCTGCTGGCTTAGGGAGATTTCAGCTGTCCATTCCCTCCTCCTTCCACTTGTGTTAGAGAAGCCATTTGCATGGCCAGGCCTGAACTAGGTTGCGGATCCCATTAGAATGATCCAATTTAAATTGCCTCTTTCTAAAAGCGTATTGTCAGCAGCTTTTGTTTTCCTCATTCGCAATCTAGCCATGCAAACATTTGTTTGAAAAAACTATAAGAAGACACCATGCTGCAGGATAGGGAAGGAATAGGAGCGCCTGTTTGTCACCAGCATGCAAGCTGAGTGATACTGGATGTGACACGACTGTTACAGCAGTATATTCTAGTCCTCTCTTCAAAAATACAGCCCTGCGGTTAAAGCAATAGTTCCTTAAGCAAAAAGAATAAGTAATGCAAAGCTCTAACTGCACTGGAAAAATTGGAAGAAAAAAATTAATGAATCCTTATGTGCATACCGTGGTAACCTGCCAAACATACAGACACTGTGGAGTTATTTGGTAGGAAAGAACTCAGAGATATCTTTGGCTCTGGCTTCGCAATACAAAGTATCGCTGCCACACAAGTATCTTGTGTTCTTGTGATGGGAAAGTGGAGCCTCTGGTGGATGTTTAGAACCATCCTTGCCCTTAGAGATTGGATTGTGTTAATTCTTTGGAGCTCTTTTGTAGCAACTAACTGAATTTCAGAGTGATTATCACCTCTGATCCAGCAGATGAGAATAACAAGGAGGAAACTGGCAGCACCCACTCTTACCTGGGTAGAGTACATAAAGTTTCCACTGGTATTTTTACTCTTCCTGAGAGGGAAGGAAGTCAAAGGCCACCACAAATTGTCATCTATTTCCTCTGGTCTGTTGAGGTGATGTTTTAAAGCCTTTGTGTGTGTATGTGCCAGAATACGTTTCAGGATATCACTTGAATGATGGCTGTTGCTGTTTCAGATTTTAGTTGACTTAAGTATTGACTAATTTGCTTCAATCTTGAAAATATTTTGCTCTCTGTGTATAGAAGGTTGCAGACAAATTTCTTCCTGGAAGTGGTATCAGTGTAGTATTGCTCTCAGTTTCAGCATCCTAGCTAATAGTTGAATTTGAAGACATTCTAGATCTCTTGGACGTTTCTGAGTTCTCTGAGAAACGCATTGCTCTCCCTTGATAAGTAAAGTAGAATTTTTCAAATAACCATAGTTGGGGGTTCTGAATACTTAGTTAACCAAAGACTGGGAAACAGACACTCTACTCTTTTGAAATCCTTGAAACCTTAAGTGAACTATAGCAATTTCCTAAAGCAGCCTCTCATTAGAAGTATTTTCTAATAAAGATTCAGAAGTAAAGTATAAATGTAATTACTTCTGAACCATTGCTAAAGTAGTACTTGTTAATCACTTTCTACTGTGAAAACTTTGTGTTTTACAACAAAAACCTTCATCCTTCCCCTCCTCTTTCTCCAGAAGCTGTTTTGTAAAATTGTTCCCATACTACCGTGCACCTTGTGGTCTTGCTGTTTGTCTGTTGTTCTAGTTTGGCATTTGTTTAGATAACAGAGAGTGGAGGGAAATCCAAGGATTTATCAAAAAGTGGCCATTATATTTTTACCTGTATTACCCATATGGTAATATGTAGTTTCGTTTGTAGGATTTATGCTGGTTTCAATGGAAAAGAAGTTGAGACAAATACTTAAGCAAACTTTCCATGAAAAAGAGGCTATCCCAGCATTCATGAAATCTATTTTGCTACTAGTTGAAGTGTTCAGACAGTAAAACGTCAGCAGTATGAAACACTAACTTTGGTCTGTTTGCTGTAGGCATGTGTTGTTTCTCGTCTCTCTCTTGAACACAGAATGAACTATTTTCTTGTCCACTACAGACATGAAATAATTTAAGTTGCATCAAGAAAATTCAATGTAGATGTTCAGAAATCTTTCCAGCAGTAAAGACAATGAAGCATTTAAGTTGATTTTCGGGGGCATTAAAATGTTTGTGACTAGATGTCTTTAACAGATTCAATATCTCAGGAATGTTATATGTATATTTAGTCACGTTTGGGGGTATTGAGCTAAGTCCCTTCTCATTTTAGTTTGACTGATTTTTAATTAGGTTGAACCATGGGAAAGTTGGGAGAACTGTATGCTTGAGGAAAAAATCAGTTGGATTGAGCTACCTAAATATTTTTTGACTCACACCTAGTCTCCACTATTTTTTCTTTAATTTACAAATCTCTAATGACTTAGTCTGGAAGTTTCAGAATATTATTAGCTTTTTGAAATGATTTGCAAACACAGATTCAGTTTGAAAAAAGCCAGGCTCCAGTAACTCAAATATTGTGAAACTGGAAAGCTCAGCTTTTGCCCTTTTTGATAGTGTCGTGCTATCACTGTTCTGACAGGGCTTGGATCCTGGTTTTGTGTATTAAGGGTCTGGTAAATGATACTCATCTTTTTTTTTTTAGTGGTGATTTATTTTTCAGAAGTAGTATTTCATGACAT